ACCATCTGCTCCCATAACACGTTCTGGGTGGGGATGGGGCCTTTCCTACTTGTAATCAGAACTAGCAACATTCACATGCTCAGATAAGGATCAACTTACCGAGGGATAAAGACAACCCAAAAAGGCTGCCCACTTGCCAATCTCCTTTATCACATGCAAGTTTGATTTTTTTTCCTCCTCACCTGCTTCAAATCCTACAAATGCTTTTCATCTTCAGGACAAAATTGAAAATCCTTGAAGTGCATCACATATCCCTCTCGCTATACGAAACTTGACAATGCTCCTCAGATTCATTTTACCCTTGCTCCCCAACTCCAGGCCTTTGCACACACTGTTCCTTCTGCTTGAACAACTCTTACACATATTTCAGGTCTCAGTTTAACTGTCACTTCTCATCTCTTTCATCACACTCAGCAACCTCACACTCAGCAACCTCACGCTCAGCAACCTCCTAACCACCTATGCCTGTCTCACCAGGTGAACTGTAAGAGCTGTGCTTGACTTTACTGTCTTATCCCTATGGCACAGCACGACGTTTGGCACATGGTAGGAACTCAGTAAGACCTTATTAAAGATAGCCCCCCTCTCATGGGAGAGGTTCACTTGTATACATATATGTATACCAAGTCATATTTAGGGACAATAATAGGGAGAGGAGGGTTTGAATGTGCTAATTAGCCACAAAATCCTCCACAGGGAAATACCCTGACCAGCCATAGCTTTCTTCCCATAGACAACTTCCTCAGTCTCCCAGTCAGAGAAGAAAGCAGGGACCACAAAAGCATAGTCCGGAGTAAACATGTCAAGGGGGGTCTGGGTCACAAACACTCATTATTCCAGTAGAGTTGATTATTTTCATTAAGTAAAGAGGCCCTGTCTTAGCACTGGCCTCTCCTTACTTCAAACATTTCTGGAAGCTTGTATTATTAGTCTGCTAGGGCTGCCATACAAAATATCATAAACTGGGTGGCTTAGACATCAAACATTTATTTTCTCACAATTTTGGAAGCTAGGAAAGTCCAAGATCAAGGTTCCAGCCAATTTGGTTCTGGTGAGAGCTCTCTTCCTGGTCTGCAGACAGCCGCCTTCTCACTATTGTCCTGGCATTGCCTTTCCTGTGTGCATGTGAAGAGAAAGCAAGCTCTTCTTTTAAGGACATTAATCCAATCAGGCCAGGACCCCATTGTTATAACCTCATTTGACCTTAATTACTTTCTTAGAGGCCCCATTACCAAATAGACATTAGCCACATAGACAAACAGCCACATAGATATTAGAGTTTCAACATAATTTGGGGAGGACACATACATGAAGTCCATAACAAAGCTCAAGTCTCCTCTTTTTTTAATCCAAAAAGAGCTGAGAGTCTTCTTATGCTTTCTGTGTTGGTGTACCAGCCTGCATGTATTCCTGCCAGAAACCTGTACCTATGTATATATTTCCTTACCTGGTAGCTAGGTAGATTTAGTTAGGGAAGCTAGCTATCCAGGCAGGAGGAAGAAGAGCCAATGAAAATGAGAGAGAAGTAACTGTGAGAAAGCTAGGACATATTAGTGACTCAAGAAGAAAATGAGGACGAGTCAAAAACAATTTAAGACCCATAGGATGTGGCCCCATCCATCAAGGCAGTCTTATCTCTTATTATTCCAGTTCCACCAGTTATTGCCCACAGTCACTTAGCAAGTGACTTACACCCCTCTTTGCCTCAGTTTCCTCATCTGTAATACACTCTCATAGCATTATTGTGAGGATTACATAAAAATGCATATAAAGTGCCAGAACAGGGCCTGGCAAGTCATAAATGATCAGGAAACATTAGCTACATATAGTTATATTTCCCCATCTCCTGCTCTAATCAGTTTGCTCATCTTCATCCCAGATTCCAAGTCCTTGCTCACATTGTTACTTCTGCCTGCAATGCCCTTTCTGGTCTCCTCCACCTACACATATTTCAACATCCTATTTCTCCACAAGGCCTCCTCTGTACTAATATGACGTTTAGGGCCCGTTCAACTCACCCTGACAAACTAACAATGCTGCTGTGGTAGTTAACCATCGTATACCTTTAGGTGTGCTCCTACAGGGGAAGAAGCTGTTTCTTAATCTTTTGTGTGTTTTCCAGTGTTTTATACAGTGCTACACTGCAGGTGTTCAAGAAATCCTGCCTAAAAAAAGAAAGGGGGTTGGTGGGGGGGAGAAGGGGGAGATGGTCTGAATTCTGAGCAATAAAAAGGTCACCTAACCTTGAAACAAGAGTACTTTTAATTATATTTTGGTTCTAAAATAAACCCAAATGTGTCACAGCGCCTTCTGAAGAAAGGAGTGTTATGAAATCAAATAATTATAGGAGCAGCAACCCCATGAAGAAAGTTTGGGAACCATTGATAATACTTCTAGAGGAGTGGTAAGGAGAGAAGCAGACAGGCATTAGAAGCAGCAAAGGGAGTGAGATATGGATGCAGAACACAGAAAACATTTACTGAGTGCCTGCTCCATGCTAGGCACTTACACTGATCTTGTCAACTGTCTTGTCAGGAGGCATCATTGTCTCCAGGTTGGCCTGGCTCCCATGCCATGCCCTTTCCCCAATCCTCATTACCTGTTTTGTTTATGAAAGAGGTATTGCAATTGGAGCTGTGGTAGGGCCAAGTGAATATGCCCTCTGGGCCAGCTTCCTGGAGATGCTACACTTTGCTGCTTCCAGGTAGATGATGGATTTTTTTTTTTCCTGGAAGCTGGAGGGCCTCCAGAGGACAGGGATAAATAGGAATGGAAGGTGTGTGTGTGTGTGTGTGTGTGTGTGTGTGTGTGTGTGTGTGTGTAGAGAGAGAGAGAGAGAGAGAGAGAGAGAGAGAGAGAGATGAGCCTCAGGCCTGGGCTGACAGGATGTAGTTTAAGGGAAACCTTGTCCCGGGATAGCCTCCTGCCCAACTTCTTCAGGTGCTAGGAATCAGCACCATTATGGTTTCATGGCTTACGAGCTTGTTACAAGGGGCCCATCATTGAAAGACTACGCAGTGTATCACATTAGTCACTCCCTGAAGTGATGTGACTGGAGGGCATCAGGATCTGATAGAGGGCAACAAGGGCAGGTTTGAAAACAAAGTAGGAAAGCTTGAAGTGCATTTCTGAGGTGGCACTAGGCACCTGGTGTAGATTGAGGGAAGGTGGGTCGAAGGGCACTAAAGATTCACAGCTGCGCCCTAGCTGGTTTGGCTCAGTGGATGGAGCGTCTGTCTGTGGACTCAAGGGTCCCGGGTTCGATTCTGGTCAAGGGCATATGCCCAGGTTGCAGGCTCGATCCCCAGTAGGGGGCGTGCAGGAGGCAGCCAATCAATGATTCCCTCTCATCATTGATGTTTCTATCTCTCCCTTCCTCTCTGAAATCAATAAAAATATATTTAATAAAAAAAAGATTCACAGCTGCTTCCAAATGTCGCCTTTATCAAGGACCACCTGCAAACCTAAGTGTGCTTTCACCTCTAGACATTGACTCAAGGGTCACAAGGGTGAAGGAGATGAAGGGGCAACTTGGATAAGCATGGACATCTGGACTACTACAGACTAAACTATACCTCCAGCTTCCAGGACCCAGAGCTAAATCAGTCAGGAGAGGTGCATTGACGCCAGTTTGGAAGGGCGTTCTCAAAGACAGGCAGGCGGGCTCCTCGCTAGCCTCTAACACCCGTGGCTCAGCCCCAGCAGCTTAACAAAGCCCCAAGCCTCACATATCATTTCTCACCTCCTGCAAAAAGGCTCCTTTGCACAGGTCCAATCCACCCATTCCTGTGGGACCGTGGTAATTTCCGACTACGCGGGAGTTCAGCGCTCTTAACGCTGGCGTTGGTTCAAGGGTGAACTGCATACCGGTATAGTTCTTTCCTTTAGTCTAGAAGGGAACTGATTCTGAAGACCACCAGAGGGCGGTGTATAGCAGGGACCTGGCTTCTGGGAGGACACGGCTGCTACAGGGAAGGGCGGGCTTCCGGAGATACCACCCACCCCTGACCATCCCCCAGGCCCTAGAGACACTCCTCTTCCAGTGCAGTCCAACTTCCTCGGAGCTTCCGTTGCTAACTTAGGGGCACCTGCCTGCATGGATTCTAGGTGTCTGCTGTGTTGGAAGCTATAGGTTTCAGAAACACTCAGGCCAAGGAAACAGAGCCAGCAATAATGGGAGAGGAGAGAGAGAGAAACAGTGGCGGGAGCCAGTAGAAACAACCAGGACAGGAGAGCAGGAAGGGCGCTTGGGTTGTAATACCCATATGGCCTTGTGTGGAGCGCCGATTTCCCCCCATACATCAGGGCTGAAGTGGGTCTCCGCCTTCATCCTCGCAGCCCTTCTGAAGGAATAGGTCCCAGCCTTCTTCTGTCTGGATGCTTGTCTTGATCAAGTGTGTGTG